CACACCACAGCTCCCTTGGGAGAGTGACGGGTCACTCTCATGTGACCCCGTTACACTACCTCTAAGCCTATCGTCTGTTGTAGAATATGTACCAAAATATCCAACTGGATTTTGTCTAGCGACTGCTTACAGTTGCTGCTGTGGATTGCCAAAAATAATCTTTGTGCGTTTTATACCCTAAGCGATTTTTTTAGGTATTCGCTTCCAGCCACTCTCATCAAAACGAAATACACAACTAATGACTGATGCGGCATTTAGATAACCTATCTATTTTCTTATGTCAAAAAAGACAGCGAAAAAAAATCAATGCTTGGAGAGTATGGATGACGTACACATAATAAAATGCACAGAAGGATGACGAACATAATTCTTAAGGAGTTTGTTACTATATATTGAATTGGACAATATCGCATTAGCATCAGAAAAGGAGAACGAAATGAAGGGTAAAAATCAAAATTTTGTATCCGATACAAAAATTTGACTAAATTTTCTTGAAGAGTATCTTGGCATATAAAGATGATAAGCAGTAATTTAAGAGCATAGCTGAATCTGAAAAAAAAAGATAATTTGATTTCCGTTGAGTCACGCTATCACCACATTATGCACCAGAAAATAGTCATTATTTTTTTATATGAAAATGAGAACGAGGAGTCTCCGTTATGCCTTCGCTACCCGGTCTCAAGTAACGATGATGCAGTTGTGACGAGAGCTATTCCGCTATTATTTTGATTTTCACTAACGTTCATTATGGCGTTCAAAGGTAAACGTCTATCAAATTACAATAATGACGATGGCAATATATAGCCTCGCTTTGTAAATTAGCGTGATAAATAAACTGTTGTGCAGCGATTGATTCATACAACCGCAACGCTAATTCACCCGCCAAAGCCTCTGTCATAGTGCAAAACCAGCTCAACTGCGAAGGAGAGCACATCAAAACAGCCAATGTCTCGTGCTGGGACCTAACACAAGCAGCGCAGGAATGGCATGGTCATTAACAGACAATCCCAAAGATAGATACAAAATTTATAAATCACATGTATTAAAATGACCAAATATGAAACGAAAGGGAAGTACCGAGAAGTACTACCTAATCCATCCTCAAGCTACAATTACATCTGTAGCGTGTCATCAACGGTCGAGCCATCGTCATTTTGAGTAACTTCCACGTTACTCTTTGCTGGAGTTGCATTACCACTGATTAATCCTACGCCACTGTCATTATTCAAGCCACTGGAAGGACTATCGTCAACACCATTATAAACGGTCCTATAGCTCGTAGTAGGACCATCTACGGACTTCTTGTGGAAGTCGCTGTATCCACCCTTTCCTAAAGGAATATCGGCGCTACCATCATCAAGCCAGTCAAGTTCATCCTTTGAAGCTTTTGAAGCCACATCAAGTTCGTTAGTGTTGTCATTCAATCCAGCAAATTTCTTTTTGAAATCACTGTATCCACCCTTTGTTAAAGGGGCGTCTGCGCTACCATCATCTGTAAGCCAGGCAGGTGCACTTTTTGTAGATTTGGCAGCAACTTCTGGTTCGTAAGTGTCGTCGTCAATTACT